GCTTTTTTATTTCTTTATATAACCAGGGGGTAAGTATTATATTATAATTTAACTTTTACAACACAAAATAAACATCACCTAATTAAATAATTTGCTTTTTTATTTCTTTATATAACCAGGGGGTAAGTATTATATTATAATTTAACTTTTACAACACAAAATAAACATCACCTAATTAAATAATTTGCTTTTTTATTTCTTTATATAACCAGGGGGTAAGTATTATATTATAATTTAACTTTTACAACACAAAATAAACATCATCTAATAATTTGTTTTTTTATTTCTTTATAATAACCAGGGAGTAAGTATTATATTATATTTTAACTTTTACAACACAAAATAAACATCATCTAATTAAATAATTTGTTTTTTATTTCTTTACAATAACCAGATGGTAAGTATTATATTATAATTTAAATTTTACAATGCAAAATAAACATTATCTAATTAATTGATTTGTTTTTTTATTTCATAGATTGTAAGTATTATATTATAATTTAACTTTACAACACAAAATAAACATCATCTAATTAAATAATTTGTTTCTTATTTCATAGATTGTGAGTATTATATTATAATTTAACTTTTACAACACAAAATAAACATCATCTAATCAAATAATTTGTTTTTTTATTTTTAGTGTGTAAGTATTATTATTATAATTTAACTTTTACAACACAAAATAAACATCATCTAATCAAATAATTTGTTTTTTTTATTTTTAGTGAGTAAGTATTATATTATAATTTAACTTTTACAACACAAAATAAACATCATCTAATTAAATAATTTATTTTTTTATTTCTTTATAATAACCAGGGGGTAAGTATTATATTATAATTTAACTTTTACAACACAAATAAACATCATCTGATTAAATAATTTGTTTTTTTATTTCTTTATAATAAACAGTGCATAAGTATTATATTATAATTTAACTTTTACAACATAAAGTAAACATCATCTAATTAAATAATTTGGTTTTTTATTTCATAGATTGTAAGTATTATATTATAATTTAACTTTTATGATGCAAAATAAACATCATCTAATAAGTAAATTTATTTTTTTATTTCTTTATAACCAGATTGTAAGTATATTAATTTTTATAATAACTAAATAAAATTAATTTTTATAACAACTAAATAAAATTAATTTTTATTTTTTTATAATAACCAGCTAGTAAGTATTATATTGTATTATAATCAATTTTTATAATTTTTATATCTAATTAATAAGTTTATTTTTTATTTATTTATAATAAACAGCTGGTAAGTAGTATATTATAAATTAACACAAAAATAAATTTTATTAAAACATCATCTAATAAATCTTTTTTATA